TGAAAATACGCTACACGGACCACGTCACAAATGAGGAAGTTTTACGACGTTGTGATTCAAACTGCCTCCACGTGGTTGTGGCACAGCGTAGACTTCGACTGGCTGGTCACATTTTGCGCATGGCACAGCAACGAGTTTCACGAGTGGCCATGAAATGGATACCTCCAGGAGCCAAGCGAGGAAGAGGCTGCCCCAGAAACACGTGGAGACGAACGGTTGAGAATGATCTAAAGACATTAAATGTTTCTAGGAGCGAGGGAGAAAGCGAGGGAGAAATGATTGCACAAGACCGGCAACAGTGGAAGAATCTCGTCCTCCAGCACGGGAGGAACTAAGTCTAAGTAAGTCTAATGCAGTAGAGTTTTTCAATCGTCTCATGCCATCTATGTGCTCCTTGAGCCTCACGTAAAGTGGTCTTGCCGTTTCTCCAATATACTCATCACCGCAATCCCTGCAAGCAATTCTGTAGACCACTCCAGACATGTTACAATCACCTTCCCTTCCAGCTGGACAGTTTGAGGCTGTACATAGGCGATCGTATAGCCTGCTCCAAATCACGCGCTTTTTTAGATTGAAGGTTGGTACGTTTACAATAGCAACTAACTTTTCCAAACCAGGCTCTTTAAACACTTTCTAATGGACGCACTGAACTCATCAGAAACAAGTGGTAGAAGGAAAGTAGTATTTCCTGAAATCGAGGTGCTAACATGTCAGAGGTTCACACCACCAGAAGAAGCTCTACGTGTAGTTGAAAAACTGTAGTATTCATTCGGCCAAGCTATATCGCGTGCCATTTTAAGCTACTCTTCTCGCTCGTCCTCCCCACTGCAGACCTTTCTAGCAGTGCGGAACATATTTCTAACGACCGCTTTCTAACGTTTAAGAAAGGAAGCCAATTCCGGTCGGTTTTCCGTGTAAACTTAATGTGCTCAGATTGTGAATTAAGTAGGCCGAAACAGACATCTACTTCTTCCTGTGTCGCAGAGACTTTGAAGCAATCATCGATATATCTGCAATAAAGCAAGGGCAGATACTCCAGTACAGGCGTTTCAATTTTGGCCATAAATGATACGGCCAACACAGGCGCCAATCGATGCCCAATAGCCAGGCCTCTAGTCTGTGAAATACCTTCCCGACCACTTGAAAATGTTACAACTGAGACACTCCCTCACAAGTGCATCAGTTGGGATATAGACAGCCCTCGCATACCGATTTCGTTCTTGTGCTGACTAAGAAGCTGGAATACGGCTTCCACAGAAGACCCATTGCTGACATTTGTATAGAGAGCTTCTACGGCGAAGGATTCCATAATGCACGAACCACAGGGGTGCAGTGCGACAAGGCGATCCAAAACATTTGGGTGTTAGTGAGATCTGAAGGAATGAAGTTAAGGAGCTGCACTAGAATGGTATTAAGAAACCATACGATTCAGTCAGTAGGACCACCTACACAGTTTTTTATGGGACGGACTTTCACGGGAGTGGAATTGATTTAAGCCAGGTCGTTTGCATCTAAAATTTGTGCGTCTTTTTGAGCCGATGCAGGACTGGACAACAAGACGACTCAAGTTTAAGCAGTGTCATTAAGGTTGAACTCAGCCCTGCAGACCGCGCTACTGAAACCCACATCCATTTCAGTCCACGCAGCTGCGTTTTGAACTCCTCAAGAGAAGCTGGCCAGTATATAGATGTGTCTCCCAGATGGTGTTCCTTTACTTCACAGTTGTCTACTCTCCTCCTTTGTCACTAACAGATAACCCTATAGTTCGGGACTTTATCAGGTCTCGAAGTTCCTTGATACCACGTGTTCATCACGCGTTTACCTCTTGAAAAGGTCCCTCGAAAGGAGGAGTTTTACCTCAAGAATGAGCGGATAATCATCATCGGATCAATCATTCGGCTGCAGTCTACCGTAAGTTCAGAGAGCTGAAGATTTCGAAACACTAGTTGATTCTTGTGAGGAGGCATATATATTCGGTCGAATTTTGAAATTTTTCATTAGATTGTTATTTTCCGGAGTCCTAAATGGTGAGGGAGGCCTGCAAATGCCCAACATTAAGGCCAAAAACGTTTTGCAAGTGTGTAGAACGCATTTTGAGAGAAAGCAAAGCGAGCGCATGCATCAAGGAACAGTACCTTGATGTCATGCCTATCAGTCCACCGTTGTACCAGCTGCGCCACCGTTGCACAGTACTGTGGTTGATCGACTCGTCGCTGGCGTTTAAGCTCAAGAAGCCTCTTCAACAGACGTAAGTGAACAACTGGAGACGTTGCTTCCCCAGCCCCTTGTGAAGGCGCTCGACTAGGCATTGCATTTTTCATCCTTGTTGTCGATAGCGGGAATATCTCATGGATGTGCGAGGAAATCGAAGTGGTCCCAATTTGTGACTAGACTCGTCTTCTGAACTTGGCAGCTCTCTCTTCACGCATTGAAAAACAGAAGGTAGCGCTGAGGAGACGACGATCCGATGTCGTTAGAACCTCCGAACCACAGCAACGTCAGCCTGACAGAAATTGAGGTCGAAGAATGATACTCAACGCGAATTAGAGCTTACCCAAAACTAGGAATTATGATCTTCGGTTGTTGTGCGATAGTTGAAAAAAGCGAGAATGTTCCTGTCTTTGAGTTCGGAGAAACAGTGACCTTCACCTACTGTAGTTACATATCAACGATTTTGCCTCCCATGAACAATTCAAGTTTGATTTTGGAATACAAGTGAATTATAAAGTATTATCAATATGTAGAGTAATACGATGAAGCGGGCGGAGGTGGTGTAGTGGAAAGTGGCCCACTATCACATAGACGCGGTCGAGGATCGAATCCCTGTTCAGTATCCGCCTGAGCTAACCACGCCTTCAATCCCTCTGGGATCCACAACTGGTATTGGCCCCTACGACCCTGGACCGAAGTCAAATGCGGGGCGCATCCCTATGACGCTACCGAATGACGACAAAAGGCTTCATCTTTTTGGACACTGTACGATGAAGCATATCCTTTTATTTGTACATATGTGTTGACTGTGCATTTGAGGCATTTTCTGAATACGTTAGGTCCATGGAAGCTTATAAAATCAATAAATTTTCTTTTGTTTGTCATAGTCTGAAGATCATCACCTTCGCTTTTCTGTTTTCGCCTAAGTTGTTGCTAATTTCCTTGTAGAAAGAGACTGCTCCTTGCAGCGGCAAGTTACGTGTCACCCATTTCATCGCCTACTATGGATAGGAGGACAAATACTGATATGAACAGCGCAAGTTGCACCCAATTTTCCGAGCTTGAAGTTATGTTATTTAAAGGCAGGTCTTCTTTGGAAATCTAATAAACGAGGTCAATAGATCGAAGGAGGAATTTATTACTATCATTTCATGACGCATCACAGAGACCTTCCTTTTTGTTACAGCGGCACTGCTGGCAGTTACACATCGAGCATACATCTCCTTTTTCATAAATGTCGGCTCCAATTAGATTCCCTCTGAAAATCTGTTCTCTACGAAAGTGAAAAACCTGGAAAAAAGTGGTTATTCTACAGAAATGCTATGAGATTCGGGAGAAAGGTCGAGAGTACAAAACCTTCAACTTGCATGAACGCACCGTTTCTGGTAATGGCAACCTGCAAGGAAAAATTTAGCACACGTTTTCACGCCACATCCGATCCTTCTACTTGACTGCCAAACCATCTAGAATAGGTTTAGTTTCAATAAACACTCATCTTCGTTGCTAACTTTTGGAGCTACCTGAGTATAGTGTCCAACGCCTCGGTTGAACACCTACTCCGTCAGTTTGCTCTCTTTTCCGATACCTTTGTTTTCTAATTCGCTCAACCATATTTTGGTGCTCTGTGAAGATTCCGATTGAGCAACGACGAAAATCCACTCAATTTCGATCATCTCACCATTGCTGCGGCGTGAGTTTTGTTCAAACGAGTGTTAGTAGACAGCCAGATGTTCTCTCCGTTTCCGCTCTTAGAGTCTCGAAATATGCATTTATTCAGCCATTTCATCATACTTTCTTCAAGTTTGCAATCGTAACTCTGAAATTGGTTAGATACGTTAGTTGGTCAGATATAATAAGCACTGTCAAGAGGTACGGTAGCATTTAATACAAACTTACCGCTCTCGCCATTTTTCCAGCCGTTGGAGTAGTACCACCTTGCCTGTCTTTAGCAAGACCTTTTGCAACTTGAGACCTGAAACTCTTAGTTCGTCCGAGATCTCATTTTTACCGCGCTGCTCAGTGAACACTAACTGATACTCATTGTGTTTATCGAGAAAAACATCTCTGACCTCGTCTGTCATATCATTTTTGAGATTACATCGATCTGAAACTATTTACATGATTGTACAGCTCTCAATTAAAAGGGAATGCTGTGAAATGCTACTTACGCACCAGCCAGTACAGCCGAGATAAGAAGCGAATGTAATCATGTAAACCACTGAGGTCAAGGGCTGCATTAATCACATTTGGTGAAAATTTACACTTACTAGATGGAACACTGCGACATCAAGAACATCGTTCGAGTCGAATGTGCATGCCCGCTGAAGTTCCGCAGAGCTTTCATACTGCTGAATATTGGGAAACTTCCTGCCTTTCTGAATGTTAGTCGGCTACGCAAATAGTTCCAGCAAATGGTTTTCAAAGCTGGTTACCTTCTCAGTTAAAAAAATACTGCCGAGTAATATAGTATGTATCTATCATTGGTCTTAAATGCGCTTTCACTATTGGTAGGATCACTAGTATTTAAAGTAGTTAGGCGAAGTCAGGTAGAATTACATACTATTTTTGCTATGATACCTGGGAAGAGTGCCAAACTGAATTTCTACACTTCTTGCTATCAATCCTACTTTATTCAATTCGCTAAGTGTGTCTGTTGGTGTGTCGGTGTGTGTGTGTGAGTGTCGGTGTGTGTGTTTGACCGGAAATTCATAACTCCTGTCTCCGTGGACCTAGAGCGCTGAAGTTTGGTAGGATTACACTTTTCGTGCTAACAGTGGAACCTTAGCATTTTAATGTGATGTACAGGGTGCGCCAAAATTACCTGCTCAAATTTGCAGAGTTTGACCTATCGATTTAATGCGGCGATGGTCTATCGATTGGCCGCGAACGTGTTAGGCATATCTTCCTTTATCAAGAACCCAAGCTTTGATCCTCAGCTCTTGCTCCTTTCAAAATGGTTGGACCTCATCCTCTCAGTCCCGCGATTATTCAGTTACACCAGATGGGTCGCTGTTCCAAAACCATCGCAAAAACTCTATCATTCAGCAGAAGAACAGTGGACTCCACCATCAAAAGATTCAAGGAGCTCGGTACTTTAGAAGACCGCCCAGGAAGAGGAAGAAAAACGACCGTAACTTCCATAAGAAATGTTAAAGTTGTACGAGATATGGTGCGACGCAATCTGAAGAGGTCGATGAGGAAGATTGCCAAAAAGCTGGGAATAAGTCATACCTCCGCTCGCCGTATAGTCAAAGAGAAGCTGGGATTGACACCTTATCGATGCCGAAAGGTGCACCTCCTCACTGCATCTATGAAGAAAAACCGGGTCCAGAAGTGCAAGATGCTCCTCCAACGGTTCGCGTCGGCGCGCCACCGAGACATTGTCT